TCTTTAAAAACTTTAATCACTTCCTTTTGGTGAGGGATAGATTTCTTAGGTGTATAAAAGCTTTAAAATGGGACCCACCAAGAATTTTTTTCCAAACTCCACAGCTGTCCTCAGTGCTTCTTTGTACCTCTTGATAAGTAAAGGGTTTCTTAGTTGGAAAGAGTTTAAAAATTATCAGGGACGGTTGTTACTGTTGTTTTATTAGCTCTAATTAAATAAAGGCAGGGAAACACCAGTAAATAAGCAATTCTCAATACTTCTGAGGAGATCTTTTTAAATGAGCAAGAGGGTTAGCAGGGTCTTTTACTGCTTTCTGCTTATCCTGAACAGTTAAGCTCACTAGGCTGAAACTGGACTACCAGACAGAGAAGTGAAAAGTTATCCAAATTTGTTGCATAACTGTTTAAAAGTTATATATACATTATTGTTAGTCATTCCATGGCATTAGATCCTGTAGCTACATTTCCATTAAGTGTTATTCCATGGGCACGTTCTCTTTCTTGATACACTTTTTTGGCAGTAGCATTTCTTTCCAACAGTATTTTAGTATTTAGATGGCAAGCTACATTTTATCTCTATAATGTTTAATTTAATAAGGCAAAATGTGATTATTTGGTTTAATTAGAGCATGTAAGAACTCTGTGTGTATGCACTTTTGATACTCACTTTTAAACACGTGCTTATATCCATGGATTTATAAATATTTGAGGTATATTTATGCAAATTTGAATGCGAGGCATTATAGATCATTTGCAAGAGTGTTGTAGTGTGAATTCACATTTAGGTAGTGAGCAGCATTCATTAAATGTCCGTGCTTCAGCTGTGTGCTTGCAGGGTGGTATTTTTTCCTGGAAGGCTTAGCTATTAAACCCACTGTAAAACACTGCAGAGTTCTATCTCAGCCTTTTTTAAGTGATCACTTGACTCCGGTGGCTGTTTGGTATGGAAGCTGCAGTCAAAATATGTCTGTTTAAAACAGATGTAGTCATTAGGAGGCCCTCCAAACTGTGATTCTCAGCTTCCTCTAAGTCAAACTTCTCCTAGGTCAAACCATCTCCTAGGCAGGTTCAGAGGCAGATGATTATCCCATTTCCCCACGTCAAGCGTTGACGAGGGGCTAGTGCCACAAAAATAGGACTCATTACTTAGTTATCAGACAAGTTTATTGCCATTCATGCTCCTCATTCTGTCTCACTTGTGCTATTTAAATGTGCAGCTAAAAATAAGTATTAGTCCTTGCTTATCCATAGGCATGGTAAGGAATGTTACTGGCCCGAATGCTGCCGGGGTTAGCTTTGGACAGCTCTTTGCTGCACCACATCGCAACAGTCCGGACAGAAAGCCACAGGGAAGGTCCTTGGGGCCACTGTGACCTGGGAGAAGCTGAATGCCGGTGCCCAGGGTGAATTTAACCACGGTGTGATGAGCAGGAGGAGTGGGCTGTAATAATCTTCCATGAGAGAGAGAAAGAGCAGAGCCTGAGCAGGGCTTGCCAGCAGCAGCAAAGATTGCTTTCCAGACTGCCCCAACCATGACCTCAGGACAGGGATTTCTGACTGACCCTGAGCCATGAAGCATTAAAAACCTAACAAAATGATCCGCTGGGCTCTCACTTCCTGACCTCCCTATGAGCACAGAAGCTTTTCTAGCTCTCACTGAGAGAATGATATCGCTTCTGTAGTTATCTTTACAGCTTTCAAACTGAGTTTCTCACCTGCTTAAAGAGAGCTGTGGCAACCACTATCCTTCCTTCCGGTTATTTCCTTGCTTTAGTCCTTGCACTTCTGTCATTTGCTGATGGGCCAGAATTAAAGTGAAATTACCCATGCAACATTTCAGTCGTCTTTTCCTAATTTGTCATTTTGTTCAGATATCCAACACATTCTTTAGGACTAGGGGAGTTGCTGCCATTGTGTACAGAGTAGACAGAAAAGTTTTTCATGGGGAATGTACTTGGTGGTCTACAAGAGCAAAATCTCACAGTCTCTCAGACCCTGTCACAGAAATCACCTCCTTCTCTAAGTGTCTGGCATCACAAGGGAACAAAGGCAGGAACTGAGGGTTTGGATATGTCTGGGTAGAGTTGAGTCATCTTCCCAAGGCACCTCTGTGGGAAAAGCTCTGCAGGATACAAACAGGTGCTGCCACCTGCAAACAGGTGCTAACAGGCGTGTTCCTGGTGCTACAGGGCAGGGTCTGAAGGGCATTCTCCGTCACCAAGTGAAGCAAGCAGTGTGTCTTGAAGCCAAAGCAACCACTGCAGAAGAGTTTCACCAGAACCCAGCTGCAGACATAAAGCTGCTATCAAATGCAAGCTGGCTGGAGTTCAGAATTGGGGCCAATATTTTTAACAGCATGAAATTTTGTTGTAGGCCCTCTGGAAGGATTCTGTATCTGAAACATTGAACTGGAGTGAAATCAAGACTGAAGTCCCCTGTGTGGAAAAACAGGTGAAAAAAAGGTTATCTACCTTTGAGAAGGGGGATACATCTCTCACAAGTATTACAGAGGGAGTCTGATGACATTAATTTGAAGGAGATGTATCTTTAATTTGAAGGTGTATCTTTCTTTACTGTTGGATTATATCCACAAATGCATTATAATGTCATGACCTCTTCTGTCTGAGTTGACATCAGTGGAACATAGCGACCATACCAATCTCTCATCAACATAATCAGAAAATCAGTTGATATTTTATGTTAGTAATTAAATCCTAAGCTCTACCCACTTTGTAAGGGCCTGAACTTCCACATGTACTTTCATACTGCCACTGGTGGCTTTCTGTTTGCACTACAGCAGCCTGAGAGCAAACGAAAGGCAAGATCCAAGATAGGAAGGCAAATTGGTTTTGCAAACATGGCAAAGAAAGTGTGTGAAATCAAATGCCAATATTAATGCGAGACATCTGCTCTCTGTTCCAGTTCTGAGCGAAGTAATCCAGTCCTAATTATACACTGCTGTGTCCTCTACCAGTTAAAGAGAATGGTGCAGCCATTCTCAGAATTGGTGTATACATTTCTTTTTGGATCAGATAGATACATTAGATGCAGGGGAGGCTTTTCATTTTTTGGCTGTCAGTTGCTTTGGGTAGCACAAAGAGAGGGGAGGAGAAAGGTTGCAGCAGAAAAAGATCAAAACCTTCCAAAAAGGACTCTGCCCCTAGAATAAAAATTTTTCCTGGAGAACTTTCCTTGCAGACCTCAATCAATACTATTCTCATCTGAGTGCACATATTATTCATTAAGAAATATTGGCAAGAGGTACACTATAGCGTATGCCTTCATTAGAGCCTCCACCTGCCTGCTTTTATCAGAACATCTTCCCTAACTTTCATCTTCACTGAACTTGTTTCTGTCTTTGGATTCACAGAGAAGTCTTGTCATTTCACAGGATGGATTTATTTCAAAACAAACAAACACCAAAATATTAATCTCTTCGGTTTGTGTATGTGTTTTCTCATCTCACACATTAATGAATCGAGAAGATAATCACCATTAGATTCAGACTGAACTGGATGCTGATGAATTCAAGTGCAAAACACAGCCCAGTGCAACAGACCCTCCCTGATATGGGAATAGCTGGAATTCCTCTGTTGTGTGTTCAGCTGCCACACCATATCCTTTGTGTGCACCTACAGCTCCTGTGCCAGCAGCCATTTTCCACTGGGATCAACATTTTTAGGTGATATGTTGTTAGAATGATGTTGTGAAGACCTGGTAAATGTCATCCATGCCAAGCAGAGGCAGAGGGAGACACAAACATAGGGGACACTGGAAGTGTCTTAGGGTATTACCACAAAGCAAGGTGAGCCTGACATTGCATTTTATCCTTTCAATTCATGTGTTTCCATCTCAAATTACTCTGTGTCAATTTTGTCAGAAAAAGCCTGGTCTCATTAGTGCATGGCAGTGAAGAAAGAAGCTATCTTATTGAAGAAGGCCACTGGGATTTTTGGACAGTATGTTGTGGCCTAGCTCCACGTCTGCGACCCCAGTGTGCTGCTGCAGTTTAAAGAAGAGCTGATAGTAAGAGATTATGAAAAGGCAGCTCCATGGCTGCGTCTCTGTTCACCCATCTCACATTTGATCAGTCTCTGCTTGACATCAGGCTGGGAGCAATAAGCTCTGATCATAACCAAGTATGTTGCAACAAGCCCGAGAGCTCCATGTGTCACTCCAGGAGCAGGCACTGTCTCACTGGATTCCCCTGTGAAACAACTGAGGCAGACGTTGTCTCACAGCCAGATTTGTCTCTCAGGTCTATCTACTGCACCCACCAAGGTGAGGAGTAAAAGGCAGGACTATCTGCAGGACAACACTGCAGCAGCAATGAACCTTGAAGTACAGAAGAATATACAGAAAAGTCAATTTCTGATCCAAATGAAAGCGAGGGTCGTTACGAAAATACTTTCACTGGAGTTTATTCATAAGTTTGGACGCATCTTTTTGTTGAGGTGTGTGTATTAAGGATTCATTTCCACTTTAAAAAAACTGCACAGGCACAGCTGTGTGAAGAGGTGGCAGAGTCAGAGTCCATGTGTTGATTTGCTCAGGAAGATTGGGCTAAAGGCACATTCCTGAACTTTTGCTGAACTTCAGTTTGATATGGATTGAAATCTTGCGTCACTCTTGAGACCTGATGGGCCATACAAATGGAAGAACACATCTCACTTGAGCCTGTGAGAGTTCTGAGAGGTGGAAGGAGGCTTCTATTGGGAAAGCATCTCCTCTATTTATGCTTCTCCCAGGTAAATCCAGCCTGTCCCAGCTCCTAAAGCTGTTGTTCACTTGCCAGTATTGGTGCTGAGGAGCCACTGGCAGATCTGCAGCATGTCACACCCAACCTCACCCCCCAGCAGTTTGTACCCATTCACAAAACTGTCCTGACACCAGTTTCCCATGTAGAAAGAAATTTAATGGATTCCATGGCAGCTGAGCTGTTCTGGACATGAGAGGTGCAGAATCTGACCATTAAACTTCTTCTGAAACAAGAAACAGTCCAAAAATTTAGGTCTTGGTACTTTTATGCTTGGAAAAAAAAACCCCAAAAACATTTTGTAGAATAATTTTTTAATTTTTTGCTATGGAGAGCAGCAGCAAAACTTCTGAATAACTGATTTATCCACTGTAAATTTCTCTAAATGTCATTACAGATTGTGAAGCCTAATGGCTTAAAGTTCCAGCCTTATATCACAGTGGCAAAGAACTCATTCTCTATATGTTTTATTTTTGAAGCTTTGACATTTTCTTCTATTAAAGGAGATGCTGTATTTTTAATACAAACTTTTCTTTATTAAGGGATAGCCTATATTTGTGGAAAATTTAACATTCATTTCACATAAAACATAGTAACGCAATGGAGTGATTTATTTTCACAATGCATAGGCAGAGAAGTAGAGCGAGGCAGAGTTTAGAAATAATTGAGGTCTGTAGATCTCAGGTATGTATTTAAGTGGTCTTTTGAACTGTCACCCGTGTTGTGTGTGAACATAACTTTTCAGAGCACTTGTGATTTTCCTCTGTTACAGGGCTGCTGAGTTGTGGTACGAGGTCAGGCCCGTGGTCACTCTCTTCTGACACCAGCAAGGTAGGTGCAAGTGATTCTGAAATGGGTAAAAATACAGAGATGTTTTGTGGCTAATTTAGTACAGACCTGCGCAAGTTGTCTGGGTTATTTGTGTGAATTCAAGAAATAAAACCCACGTGTCAAACTGGCAGACAGAAGTCTCATCTGCTGGGAAATCTGACTTTGAGAACAACTGCTAAATTCACCATTTGCAGGGTAGTCTTTGGTACAGCCTGGTGCTGCTTCACTGTGGGATTCTGACTGGCACACGTGACTTAATCACCTTCACTTTTATTTTGATTTTTTTTTTAATCCTGTCAGCTGAAAGATAAAATAAATAACATATTAACCTCCCTGATGAAGCTTTATAATTCCCAACACTGAAACATTAACCAAGTCCTTAATTAAGAGAGACTGAAAGTAGAAGAATGCTTTTATGTCATTAGCTGGTTTTTGCTCCAGTCATCTGCCTCATTCAAGCATAGGATAATATGAAACCTCACGGGTCTGCTAAAGGCTTGACTTAAGTATATTGCGGACTTGGCAATTTAATAAGAATGGGGTGTTGTACTTTAGGAAGAGCAGGAATTAGTATTAGACCAGAAACTTTCCTAGGCAGAGCACAGCTGTTCCCTTTTTTCTGTGGTTTCTGCAGTCTGGAGGGTGGTGGTTCCTCAGAGCTGCCTAGCCAGGGAGCAGGTGAGGCACCATAATTGAATGAAAACCAGCGCACATCAGTGATGAAGCGACACCTCAGCAACGGTGTTGTCTGGTCCTCCTCCAGCAGCCAGCTGTTTTAGTGCTTTGTTCCAGAGAACAGAGGGTTGGGGAGCTGAGGTTTATTCCTAGACACTGATCTGTGTCAACTTTTCCCAATAACTCGTTATGGGGCCGGTTGCCCACACAAGTGCTTTTTGAAGGAGTAATCTAGCTGTTCCTCTCTAGTGTCAAGGTACTGAAAAAACTAAGTGTGGTAAAATTCTTTGTATGAGACTTTTAATCTGCTGGGTGAAGGAGGCTCAAAAATTACTGAAAGTTTCTCACTCCTCTGAAATTACTCACTGAGCAGATATAATGGAAACAAACGCAGGACAATGCTTCACCACACTAGAAAAAGTAATTTACTTAGAGTGGGGACCTTTACGCTGGGGTTTGTCTCTTCACCTTATTAAAGCTGTAAACCTAAAAATCCCCATGACTCTAACTGCAGGATTGCAGCAGACTGTTCAAGCTGCAGGAATGTGTGCTTGGCAATGAAATGTTTTGGTAGTTTTGGCATTATTTTTCTGCCCTTGTGTGACGCTCTCCCATGTGCCTACAGAAGTGCAAAATTCTCTCTTCCTTTTTCCCTCCAGGTCATTTTCATGCCCAGTGACCCCACCTTTGCTGGCTCAAGCACAAACACCCTTTCTGAAGAACGATACCAAAGTCAGCCTCCGTTTCCTCAGTTTCTTCCTGTTCTACCCTTGGCATCCCAACAGTGACCTTGGGCTCCAGTGCACGCAGACAAACTTTTGCCACTCAGGAAAGTCTGTGCTCAGATTAAACCACACCATCCCTGTGGCAAGCTCAGAATTAAGGCTCAAGAACTGTCATACCAAGATCTTGAAATTCTGGCTTTGCACCCAAAAGTCTCCTTGGCCACAGTGAGACGGAATGGGCTCAAGGACCAAAAGCACGCTCAGAAATGTGCTGATGCACTGTGTTCTCCAGAGTCAGTATTTTTCGAGTGCTGCTGTGCTCTTTCAAAGGAGGAAAAAACAACCCAAAGAAGATTCACGGAGTTAGAAGGACCAAGTTCCTATGGGTGCAGTATGTGCCACAGAGTGGAAATTAAAAACCAGAGAATTAACAGGGTTTGTTGTGTTACAAAGCTGAAAGCGTTTTTATCCTTATATGTGTGTACTCACAGAAAAACATACTGCACTAATGAAACACAACTTCATGTTCTCAGTCGTGTTTATTGTTTGTTGCCAAGCAGTCCTAGCTCTGGGTTTGTTTGGTTGTTGTGGGGGTGAAGAGGAGGTGCTTGTGGGGTTTGTGACCCCCTTGGCTATAGGTGATGTGTACAAGGTGTGCCTTAAAGAGAGTGGGTAGGGTTGCCAAACAGGCAAGTTTAATAGTGGGTATCTTGACAGGGGTGAATGTGAAGATGGGGAACTGAGGACGTGACAGTTCCCACGAGATGATGTACAGCATTATGCCCCCCTAAAATCTATCAAAATCATCTGTCTCCCCTCAAGGGGAACCGGCCTGAAGAAAAGCCAAAAAAAAGGCAACATGGTGGGACCTAAATAAAAGCTAATAGATGAGCTGAGCTAATATTAGTTTCCTGATATATAAAGCCAAATGGATTAATGGATCAGCTCATGCATTGCCTAAGGAAACAAAAAGGAAATCTTCAATACTTCTGTTCACATTGAGGACATGAACAATACAGTAGGTCTTTAGAAAGTAAAAACCTAATTTGGGGGAATCAATTACTACTTCTTTTTTTCTTACCTTTTTTTTTTTTTAAAAAAAAAATATTTAAAGGAAGTTCACAGAGAGGTAAAACTTGGGTAACATGCCAGCCACAAGTCATGCGTCTCAGACACCACAATGATGGTCGATCTCGGTTTGCATCAGTCTTGCCCGGGCTCTTTTTAGCATTCCAGCTTCAGCTAATGGAAATCAAGCCCATTATGGTAAACGTAGGAAGCAAGCACATTAATAGTGGGCACTGACATTAATTCAAATGGTAAACAATTCAAAACTGTTCCCAGTACATATTAGATTATGTATCATCTTACCTGCTGCTTCAGAGGGTTACGCTTTTCACGGGTTTTTAAAACACAGAATATTGTCTGCCGCAGACTTTTCTGCTTTAGCAAACTGTTTTCAAATTCTGCTTTGCTCCCTATCAGTCCCATGTACTTTTTGGTTTTGAAGGCGAGCACTTTCACTCCAGAGCTGACACCATCGCAATGCCAATCTGTTCCTTACTTTAAAAACAGAGAGGCAGACAGGGCAAGTTTAGCAAAGGCGAGATGCAGGGGAAAATCTATCACGAAGGTAGAAAGAAAAATTGAGCTTATTTATACAGTAACACGTGCGTTAGAGTGATGCCTCCCTTCCTCGGCTGTGCGCTCCCCCATCTTCTCTCTCACACACGTATATACACACACACTTTAACTGTGCTTTTGTGTTTTGTCAGAATTAATGAGAAAAGTTCCCTTGCCCTAGGGGTAATTAGTGTCCTTGGAGTTAAATAAGCTAATACTTAGACACCTCTGGCACAGGCAATTATGTTTGTGTATTGAATAATTGATTCAAAGAGGGGGGGAAGGGGCTGCTAATCAGATCTGAGCATAATGAATTGATTTAATTAACAGGGGAATCTGAGGGTCCCTGGGAAATGTGTGCATTTATTCAGCAGCAGGAGAGAGTGCAAAGCACATAAATTGAGAGAGAGAGCGAGCGAGCGAGGCAGGCGGCAAGTGCTTTTGCTTTCAGTGATAGGTTCACATCTTTCC